GATCAGCTCCCCTGGAGAAAATGGATGCTTAGTAAAAATAAAAATGCTTGACCATTCTTTTTTTGGGGGGAGGGGGATGCTCATGAAATACATACAGGGACAGGTGCCCCCTCCCACATTCCTGCCACTCTCCCCCTAACTAAGTCAAAAGCTTTACACTTGCCAAGGGGAGGGCCCACCAAGGCTCTTTCAGAAGCAGAGGGCAGGTCCCAACTGAGTTCTGTCTTCTCAACAAATCGAAAAAGCAATCAGAAAGCCAAGGCAACTGCAGTTTCCCCCGATTTCCAGCAGAAAATCATGCTTGGGCAGTCTGGGAAGAGAACTGGGCAGGGGGAAAAATACACCCCTGGCCGGTCTAAAGAGCCCCACCCACCAGCATATTCCCCCCACTCCCAGTAAAACTGAAAGTGGCCAAAACCAGAAGTCCCGCCCCCCGAAACAGCTATTTGAGTGGTCCCTTTAAGTGAAAGGGACCACTCAAATGGCTGCTAGCCATTTCACAGCCAGTCCCCCCCCCACCCGTTAGAAGTGGGGATAGGGTTGCCAAGTCTATCTTCGCCGGGAGCGGGGGGCTCCCGGGCAGCGTCCTGTGCGTGCGCGCACCGCACACACGTCACCCGGAAGTGACGGGAGGATGCCAGGCACGCTGGGGGCGAGGGCACGGCCATACAAGGGAAAACCATAGAGTTTTCCCTTGTATGGCCGTGGCCCCGCCCCCAGTGTGCCCGCGTCATTTCCGGGTGACGCACACGTCGGGGTGGAGTTCCCCCCGGGGCCCGATCCGGCAGCGCCAGGGAACGGGCCTCTGGAGTGGGGGTTTCCCTGCCCCCCCGGGGGGATTTTGGATCCCTAAGTGGGGAGGAGTGAAACTGGCCTTGAAACGGCTGGTAGCTATTTGAGTGGCCCCTTTCACAAGCCTTCAGCAATCAGGAAAGGCAAATACCTTCCCTGACCGCTGAGGAGGCTTGCAGCAAAGTTTAGGCTAACAGCCTAAAGCTGCTGCAAGCCTTTCCAGCAATCAGTTTCGCTCTCCCCCACCCCAGATGTGGGGAGGAGCAAAACTGGCCTTGAAATGGAAATGGCCAGAAAAATGTAATTTTGGGGTGGGATTCCCCTTCCAGCTGGCCAGCAGTGGGGAAGCCCGTTCTAAATCGGGAGAGATTCTCCCGCCGGGATCGGAGTGGGGCGCTGGGATCCCTAATGCTATTTCAGGCGGCCCTCTGCCAATGCCTTCCGGAGCAATGGAGGACCACTAACGAAATACCCAACCACCAATTTGGGACTTCTTTCACAATTCCTTTCCCAGCATGCAGAAGAAATGAAAGGTGGCATGATATGGGAGAAGTAGAGGAGAGGAAAGAGAACCGAGTCCCGCTGCAAGAGGGTACTACTGGGCATCTCAGCTGGGGCCTGCAAGCAGAAGGAGGGCCTTCTTGTGAACACGCTACTCATGAGTAAACGCCTGCTCCTGAGCCAGCTTTAAAAAGCCTAAAAAGATCCCCATAAGTCTGCCCCTCAAATAATCAAACCGACTCCCTTTCAAAACTGCAACCACATGGACAAAGAGAGTCTAATCTGAGCCAGGGCACAGCACCAGAGCCTGTTGTCAAAGCAATGCTCCCAGTCCTTCCCCCTCCCTGATATTTTGGGGTGTGCTGGCAAGGGTGGACCTTTTCGCCTATGTGTAGCACCCTCCGTGTACCGACAGGGCGAGTTGTCTTCTCTCCCGTCCCTACATGTGCATGCTCCCCAAAGGAACACTTCCAAACCAGGCAGGTAACCCAACTACTCAGCGCTGAAACTGAGGGCAATCAAAAGGCACTCACAGCCCTGAGCAACTTTCAGAGCACGTGGGGTCACAGTGCAACCTCCTTTTCCTCCTTGACATCAAATCCACACAAGCCAGGCAAAATTCAGGTGACTGTCCAGCAATGTTCCAAGCTGCAGAGTCTCATGAGCAAAAATTCTCCTCTGTGAGCTCCTGGCATTACAGTTGTGAGCAAGCGATTTGGCTACTGCATAAATTAGTCTGCTCTGGAGCCCTCCTTCCTGAGCTAAGGCGAAAATGTGTGAGCCGGAGGCTAAAAAACTGTGAGCTAGCTCACACTAACTCAGCTTAGAGGGAACACTGCTGTCCAGGGTTGCCTTCTCCCTGCACAGAAGGAGAGTGTCATGTTTCCCTTTGTGGGAAGAAGCTAGTTTCAGTGGGAATTCAGCTACAGGACTTTGTGCTGTGGCCTAAAGACAACAGTCCACCCATAGTTTCCTATGCAATGCGGCTCTTTCTAGGCCGGTAGCTACCACGGGGCCCATGGGGCCCGCCCCTCCACGGTTTTTACGGGCCCCTTCCCAATCCTCGGCTCCACCTTCCTCCCCCCCGCCGCCATCGCTGCCCTCAGCCCAGCAGCCAGTGACTTCGCACCGCCTGCTGCTGCCCTGGCTGTCTTTACTGCTGCCGGGAGGTCAGAGCGGAGGGCTACTGAGCAGGGACACCTGCCACCCACCACGCCTCCCTCCTGGGCGCCTGCCTGCCTGCCTCCCTCCCTGCCACGGTCAGCTGGGCTCCCGCGAGGAGGAACAGGAGGAACCCTGCTCTCTCCCACTTGTATCTATTATTTAGTTGTTATTTATAAGTATGAGCAGGACATGGCAGTACGGCACAGACATATAATGGCAGGGACCCCCAGCAAAACATTGCCCCCCCCCCGAGCAAAAAGTTGTTCGCTACGGGGCTGCCTGGATGGGTTTCAAGGAGATTCGTTGCTAACTGTGCCACGCCGCAGTTCATCCCTGGACGTATGAGATTAGTAATTGACTGAGCAACATTGTTTTAAGCGTTGGATGTTTTTATTATGTTTTATATGTTTTTAATTATGGCACAGCTAATTACCCTGCCCTTGTTAGCCGCTCTGAGCCCACTGGGGAGGGCGGGATATAAAGGTGAAAAATAAATAAATAAATAAATAAAATATGAGCACCCTTACCAACATACACACTTCAATGTGTGACAGAAGCATGCGTTTGTTTTCCACTGCGTTGTACAGGGCAGGAGCTCACGCTCAGCTGTACCTTCCCACAGTGCATACACACCAACAGAATAAAATAAACACAAGTACACTGTTACCCTTTATACATGCATTTCCGACACATCCATAAACCCATCGTGGAAGCTGGGTTTATGGAAGTCAACTTCGTTTTAGGATTGCCTGCATCCTCTGAATTAAGAGGATAGCCAGTCCTGTATACATATGCTAGAAAGGACACTGCTTCCTCCATGAAGCCACGGTATATAAAGCACCAAAATGGTTCATATACCAGGAAACCTATCCCAGACAAAGTCCATTGCTGAATAAGGGCCAGGCAACATTCACGCTTCCTCTGCCACATCCATTACAAGGTCCTTAGACATCCTTCAGATATGCAGACTGGATTAACTGCAGGCTTTAGCTTCCTGAGATAGTTCTAACATTCATTTCCTTAGCACTGTAAAACTACTCTCAGTGCTCTTCTTTATATGCAGATATGTTAGTCTACGTCCTTTCCGCACTAGACCTTAAATCCTGGTTCAATCCTGTCCCCGAACTTACATTCTACACTACACTCGAGTTCACCCCTGTAATTATCTTGGGGTATTTTTTGTTTCCGCATTACATGGAGGTCATCCCAGTTTTGCCCCACATTTGTCCCGGGATAAATGAATGCTGTTACAACCAGGGATAAATGCAAGGTATTGTATCCTGAGTTGAACTCTGATAAAACCAGGGATGAGATCCAAGTGTGGAAAGGACCCGGGCTGCATGGGTCTTTAGCAAACCCCGGTGCATTCTACTCTCAACCCCTTCTGTATAGAAGAACAAATTTCCTTTCGGTTTCATTTAACTCCCGGAACTGCCGCTGCCCCCTCTTGACTGTGTCGTCCGGAACAGCGCTGGCACCCAGCCACTACTTCTTACGGGAGACTGCGTGGCCCGAGGGCTGCCATCTGCCAAAGAGGAAGCATTCTGCCAGAGAAGGCTGGTGGCAAATACACACCAAGCACCGGATCACTGCTAAGTTAACCTGCTACGGAAACTGGCTACATAACTCCAGATTCGCCTAAGTCCTTCTCTGATACATGCTTTAATGGATGTGTGTAGGTGACGGAGGGGGAGACAGAATGTGGGAGAGGGATTGCGCGAAGGGTGCGGGAGGAAGAGATTTTTGCAATTAGTATTTCAGAAGCAGAAATATACCAGCATTAGTATTTGCCTCAGGAGCGAAGCATTTAGCATGCGCTTACCGTCAATGGTCTCAGCTGTATAATGACAAGCACTGGATTTTATTATAACATTCAAAACTTTGATATTAAAAGAACACACTCTCAAGGCCATTTAATATCTGATACATGGCAGGGAAGAAATCACAATCGACTGCACAGTTGTAGAGATGTGTTCTTGGTAGCTTGATTTACCGCAATTAAATGCAATACAGATCTCCTCCCTCAAAGGCAGGTTTCTCTTTTACATTGTAAGGTCCAGAGGAGAAGCACCCGTCTACGCCTATTACTTTGTCATATGCTGCGGCCAGCAAAAAAATAAATAAATCTTTATTCAGCTGAGCCTTTAATTCCATTAAGCCAAAATGCTTGGATTTAAAGTCACTTTTGTTCCCACGGCACAGCAACCCAGGCCATAAAGATAAGCCATCAGCCACAACATTCACTGGTAGAAGATATAACTTTAAAAACAACAGCACAGCACAGAACCACTGACCGAAAGATAAATCAATCCCGAGTCTTTATTTATTTTTTTAAAATCTCACTATGGCACGGCTGCCACGGCAGTCACAGTTTAATTTTCTGCAGAACTGAAGGCAATGTTAATGCCCAAATAAGGCCAGTTCCATGAACATCTAAGCTTCCATTTCTCTTTCGGACACATAGGCTAGACCAGTTTTTTTAAAAAAAAGATAATCAAAAAAGGGAAAAAAGAAAGAAAGAAAGATGTTCCTTACCGACAGGATCTCTTGTTCTCTGGGATCAACAGGGTAACAATTCTAACAAACTGGGGAAAGAAAAAAAAAGGATAAGGCCCCTTAGCGACTCCTTTTAACATCATCTTCTACATATCCTGTGTGGTACGGCGGGCTGGGGAGGCTGCTCAAGCTGCGTTTCACCATCATTACTTCTAAGATGCTCAGTTTGGGAGCCGCTCCTGATTTGCAGTCCCACGCCTGCCACCCATCCCACCTCTCAGCCAACCTATCATCTCCTGACAAATCCCTCATTTCCCCCAAATCCCACTTCCCCCTTTTCTCCACATCTGGGCCCTGCAGAATGAGACATTCCTAAAAGTTTTCTGTTTGGGTGACAAGGAAAATACTCTGCACAGCCAAGATGCTGTAAAGTTCGCCTCCATGCTAGAAAGGAGATGGATATGGGGGTGTGTGTCTAAGGACGGGATTCTCACGAATTAGGACACATCGATCTCCAGTTATAACAGGGGTCATTTCCTGCGGGAGCGCACAGGAGCGGAGCTCCGGCAGTAAGGAGCCCAGGGGGCGGGCACATGCAACAAGTCCCGCCCCCTGCTCCCAGCAGCCCTCAGTTGGGCCATGAGGAGCAAGAAGCAGCCAGGTAAGTTGCAGAGGAGCCCCCCTGGCCCACCTTCAAGTACAAGTTCTCCATCCTCTGGGAAGGCAGATCTGCACATTCTCTCCCCCCTCCCATAGCTAGCAATCCAAAACAGTCCAGTGGAGCCTGAGCGGTGGGTGTTGCCTTCTGACACACTTCCGGTGACATCAGGGGGCGTGGCATATGCTAATGAGTTATGCTAATGAGCTCCTGCACCTCTTTTTCTACGAAATGACCCGAGTTATAACATATTTATTACCTATATTGTTCCCCCCCCAGCTGAACAGAAACAGATGATAACCAGAAACCTAGCGTGTCATTCTTTTGATCTGTTTTTAAGAATATTTTCACTATTTTGCTTGCTAATTTAACAAGCCACCCCTATATATACAACTATGATATGTAATTCCATTTCATCATCTGACAAAGTGTGCATGCACACAAAAGCTCACGTCTTGAACAAAAAAATCTCTGTTGGTCTTAAAGGTGCCATTGGACTCTGATGAAAAGAATGCAGTTGTCCAGAGCAGGCAAAGCCTGCATGCACACAAAAGCTCATGTCTTGAACAAAAAATCTGTTGGTCTTAAAGGTGCCATTGGACTCTGACGAAAAGAATGCAGTTGTCCAGAGCAGGCAAAGCCTTCTGAAAGACCACTTCAAATTGTTCCTGTCTGCAGTGCTAACAGTAGCACACACAGGAATACACGTAACTTAACAGGGTATTCTCTGTTCCGGGGACCCCCAGTGTTGTGACGACGGACACCTTTCCTGACTCCCTTGGGAGCCTTGAACCCGAAAACCTTGTTGGTCACAAAGGTGTTACTTGACTCAAATCTAGCTAATACCCTAAAGCTTTCAGCTATTTTGGGGAAAAGGTTCACCACTTTGCGTCCATGAACAGAAAGCATGGTTTCAATCCTGCCCCCGTCACTCTAGAGTCACCCAAAGATATGAAGATCTTTTCACCGAATCTGGGAGAGTTCTAAGTTTTTATTGCCGGTCTAACAACCTTGAACATCTCTTACATTCTATATATGATCGGGTCAGCTGCGTGCCACTGAACATTGTTATACGGTTTCGTAAAGTTTCCAGAAGCTCTGCAGTCATGGAAAAGCAGGGCTATTTTTGGGCAGGAACGCACAGGAACGGAGTTCCGGCTGGCTCCTGAATTGGCCACACCCAGCAGGAACTCATTAGCATAATAGGCCACACCTAACAGCAGACACGCATTAGGATTGGCTACATTAGGGGTGTGTGGCCTAACATGCAAAGAAGTTCCTGCTACAAAAAAAGCCCAGGGTTTTGACAACAAAGTAAACAGAATAAGAAGCAAAAGGTGGGTGTGGTTGGATGACCACAGTTCTGGTAACATGTGGGGTGTGGCCTAATATGCTAATGAGCTGTGCTGTTGGGTGTGGCCTATTATGCTAATGAGTTCCTGCTGGGCTTTTTCTGCAAAAAAAGCCCTGTGAAAAAGCATGGTCTAAATGCCAAGAATGACTGGAATTAGCAACAGTTAGCTACTTTAAAAGAGTTAAAAAAACATTTAGTTTTGAGCTAAATAAGAATGACTGGAATTAGCAACAGTTAGCTCCTTTAAAAGAGTAAAAAAAACCATTTGGTTTTAAGCTAAATCACAGTTTTTTATATAGAACTAGATGTGGTGACATTAACATGGGAGGGGCCGTGGCTCAGTAGCAGAGCATCTGCTTGACATGCAGAATTTTATTCATTCATTCATTCATTCATCCATCCATCTAGTTCTAGTTCAGTTTATTTCAGTACGTAACCAGCACAAATCAGTTAGAAACATAGCTGGATGCCAGCCATTACATTGGAAATAATTAGATAAAAACTATAAAATACAGGTATTTTAAGAAGAACAGAATTTTTAGTCTTTCAAAAATTAAGAAGTTCAAAAGACTCATGGATCACCTATGTCACTCCTTAACGTATTCTTCGCAGATTTTATTAATAGCCCTCCCTCCCCTATATAATAGGGTTCAGAGTAGGGAACAACATTCATAAAACACTCCTTACAGTTAAAACATTAAAACAATTCTATAATACAGCAATATAACAACAACTAACAGATGGTGTATAAAAGGGGCACAACCTAGCGCTCCTTATCCGGGAGGGAAATAAGTATCCTAAAAGCTGGCTGATAAGAAAAAAAGAGGAGGGAAAAGAGGAAAGGGAGGCCAGCCTAAGGTGGAAAAACCATCTAGCCCTGGCGGAAGATCCCAGGTTCAAGCCCTGGCATCTCCAGTTTAAAAAATCTGGCAGTAGGTAATGTAAAAGACCTCTGCATAAGACCCTGGAGAGTCACTGCCAGCCAGAGTAGACTATACTGACCTAGATGGACCAAACTTCATGTGTTCAACACGTTAGGACAAATAGACAATATTCATTACTATACAGGTATTCAGGTTTTTATTTCAAAAAAGACCGACATACCCTTATTATAAGCCGTTGAGCCCATAATATTTACTGTCCTTCCAATATTTACCAAATATCGTGCATAGTTGAAGTGGGCAACCTCAGTGTACAAAGTTAATTGTATAAAGGTGTGAGTGGTCGGGAGAGGATGAAGAATTAGCCTGAGTCTTGTGCATCACTCTTGGGGTATGGTAATCTCCCATTAGTCCTATGAAATCTGGCAACGGGTTTTTTCAGGGGAGGGGGCGCTGTCAAGTCAAAGCCGCCTTATGGAGACCCCACAGGGTTTTCAAGGCAAGAAGCGATCAGAGGTGGTTTGCCATGGCCTGTCTCTGCATAGCAACTCTAGACTTCCTTGGTGGTCTCCCATCTAAGTACTCACCAGGGCCGACCCTGCTTAGCTTCCAAGAACTAGAGATTGGGCTCGTCTACATTTCAAGATTTCTCTCCATTTCTAAAATTGTATAGTTGGTTTAATGAAAGGCCTAAAAGGCAGGGATCTCTGCTAAAATGCAAGGCTACATTTCTACAAAATTGAGTAATTTAAAATGGATTGGTAGAAAAATATTTGGCCGTACCTGTATGTACTCAAATGACCCTAGGAAATCAACCTACTCAACACAGTGTGGAAAAGCTACCCAGCATTCAGTTCGGTTACTGGGGGGAAGGACTCAGCAACTAATAATTAAGCTCCTGCTGAGGCCCCTCTGCCTCCCCAAGCTCCGCCTTCCCCAGGCCATCCAGCCCCAAAATCTCCAGGTATTTCCCAACTCAGAGGTGGCCACCCTGCTGTACAGGTGTGAACATGGTCTTAATGCAGCCATTTAAATGGATGGATCTCCTCATGGGTGCAAGATGAAATCCACACTAGAGTGATTTTACTTATGAAAAGGGTTCACGTATACAGACTGACTAAACTGGATTTTGGGTCAGATTGTTAGGAAGTATTTCCATTTCTACATTCCTTGAAATTATTATGAATTTTTAAAAACTCTCTAGCGGGGCTGGATTAAAAGCCCTATTTCCAGAAGCTATATTTATTTATAAAATTAATTACCACATTGCAACAAATGTCACTTCTTCTTTAAAAAAAAAAAAGCTAAACCAAGCCCCACAAACTGAGATCTTTCTCCGAAAAGAAAACTCAAGCTGACATGAGCCTCAGTCGTTATCTTAAAAGAAAGCAAGAACATGGAAGCTGCCTCTTCCGAATGGATTTCTTCTGGTAGGAACAACAGCTCACTGTCTACCAGTGTTCCCTCTAAGCTGAGTCAGTGTGAGCTAGCTCACAGTTTTTTAGCCTCCAGCTCACATATTTTAGTCTGAGCTCAGGAAGGAGGGCTCCAGAAGCAAACTAATCTATGCAGTAGCCAAATCGCTCGCTCACAACTTTAATGCCAGTAGCTCACAAAGTAGAACTTTTGCTCACAAGACTCCACAGCTTAGAGGGAGCACTGCTGTCTACCATTCAACTTAATCCATTTTAAATGAATCACGACAATTCGGAAATGGACCACTTAATCTAAACAAGGAAGTTTCACTCAGCGCCATTCACAAGGACAATTCGGGTGACCAACATAGTGCCTACAGAGTTATTTAAAAAATGACCACGTGAACACAAGGCAGTTTCATTGCTGAAGCGAGCAACGCCCCTAAAAATAACACCCATTTTAAATGTTAATTAGCATCACAGGTGATATTTCCTTTTTTCCCAAATTAATTTTGTACCGTTTGCTTTCGTCTTGAAACCTAAATGATCCACAAAGTAAATCCTAAGCAGGTCTTATACAGAATTCTACTCAGGTCTACTCATTGGGACTTATACCCAAGAAAGTGTTCTTAGGATTGAACTGCTGGTTTCCTACCTGTTCTAAAGGATCACATCGCTTTTTGCTTGACCATCTGAACTAAATTTATTATAGGTATTGCGCTTCTTAAGATAAAAGCATCTAATTAAGAAACAGGGACTACGTAAGAAGACCATAAGAACTTAGAACTCAAAGCAGTGCCAGGAGGCAACATCAGGGGAAGGCCTCAACCTCTGTGCCCTGTTGTTGGCCGTCCAGAGGAACCGGTTGGCCACTGTGTGAGACAGGATGCTGGACTACACAGACCACTGGTCTGATCCAGCAGGGCCCTCCTTGTGTTCTTAACAGGAAGCGGGAAATGAGAAAGTTGCATTCTGTGGGCAGAAATCACATCCGACCCATGGAAACACTCTGGTGGATCCAAGTCGTGGTTTCGGAACCTAATGTGACACACCTTAACTAGCCACTGAAGTGGAAGTTATGTGTGTTCAGACGATCACCTCAATGGGACAGTTCAGTTAAGCCACAAATTCATGTGATGTCTGAGCTAAACCGTGAAACTCAAATTTACCTTTCTATAGAGCTGGTTTTACACCTTTAAAGTGTAACCTTTTTGTTGCACACGAAAACGTCCCCTTACTAAAAAAAACACAACTTCTTGTAGACCGCTCAGAAGAAAGTTCAGTTCAAACTGGGTTGTGCAGTAAAGCCACAAACCTATTAAACAGGAATACTTAAATATACTTCAGCAGTTCTTTCATTTCAATTTAACTTGCGGATATACTAGCGCTTTAAAAAAATTAAGATTTGAGTGGTTTCTTATCAGCGATGCACACTGTATTGCTTAGGATGGTTAAATAATAGTCTTCCATTTTCTCACTGAGATACCAATTCAACAAGAAAGTAAGAAAAATCACATCTGGTATGTTTATCACCAGGCAACCTGTACGCAGTGCAGGGCAGCATACGGTTATTAACCATTTTGCTTGAACTGTGGTGCCCTTTGTAAAAAAAACAACCCAACCCCAATTGTTTACATTCAGTGAAAGTGTGTTTTTCTCCTTTAGCCCACACATTTGATCCAATGCAGAATGTCCTATCGTTCCCACAATTACAGCTCTCAAGAAGCTTCCAAATCACAGACCCCGGTGCTGTTACCCCTCTTCTCAATTTGAAATTTTACTATCAGCATGTGCCAATTTGGGCAAGGGGTTTGCAATAATATTTCCCTCATTCTATTCTCCCGACTGTATTTCCAAGCTCCCTCAGCGTAGACAATCTGTCAGCTACTCTGGTATTATTTCCTGACACATGCCTTGAAATACTAAGATCGCTCTTTGACGAAAGGTGGCCCAAGCGCCTTTTTACGCACCAAAAGGCAGTACACTGATGACATCTCAGCTAACATCTTGCACAGAATCAGAAAACTCTTAAATCACCTCCACCCCACCCTTAATACATTTATCTAGAAGGAACTGGAACTGGGGGTGGGAGTCGCATCCAGGTTGTAAGGCTCAGCCACTGCTCTAAAAGGTAAATAATAACCATAAGGATGCTTTTCTTCACTTAAGTTGTCTGGCTCAGTTAAATGGGATATTTCTCTGCAACCCTGCACACATCTATTCTCACGACCATGTCTGCTTTGCCCCCTTTGCTCAAGGTCATTGGTTTGGATGGGTCTGGTTAGCCCAAGGTGAAAAAGCCACTTGGCTGCTACAGTTCACATCAGTTGCTAGTTTGGTGTAGTGGTTGGGAGTGTGGACTCTAATCTGGGAGAACTAGGTTCGATTCCCCACTCCTCCACATGCAGCTGCTGGTGTGGCCTTGGGTCAGTTACAAGTTCTTTCAGAGCTGTCCTCTCAGGAGCAGTCCTTGAAAGAGCTCTCTCAGCCCCACCTGCCTCACAGGGTGTCTGTTGTGGGAAGGGGAAGGGAAAGGAGATTGTAAGCCGCTCTGAGATGCCTTTGGGCAGTGAAGTCTGGGGGTATAAATTCATTCTCTTTTTCTTCTTCTGTTTACAGCAGCAGAAAAGAGTAAGAGACCAGTAGTTTCAAGGTGCTACTGGACTCTTATTCTTTTCTACTTCTATAGACAGACTAACACAGCTACCCACTTTGAACTATTTACAATGTTACTCTGTCACACCCCCCCAACAATAATTTAAAAAGGCAACCAATTTCTTTCTAGAATTCGACATCTTAAATTAACTTTTGAATAACTAACAATGGAACAATATGTATATATATGAATATATCACAGAATCTCTAGGTCATCTAGTCCAACCCCCTGCACAATGCAGGAAATTCACAAATACCTCACCCTAACACCCCAGTGACCCCTGTTGCACACTCAGAAAATGACAAAAAACCTCCAGGATCCCTGGCCAAACTGGCCTGGAGAAAAACTGCTTCCTGACCCCAACGTGGTGATCAGCATTTCCCTGGGCGTGTAAGAAAGGGTCACAAGAACATTGCTAGTTCCCCTCATCACAGGTTAATCAAAGTCCATGTCTTAGACCTTTTATCAATCATCTGATAACTGATCATCAGTAATTTCTTTCATTGCAGCCCTTTTTTTGTTTGTAACTGTTTGGTATTTGTTTGGGGAACGCTTGATATTAAAACACTAAACAGGTTTGGTATTGTACGCAAAAATAGTTTGCAGGCAAAGACATTAAAAGTTATACCAGTTACGAGACGAAAGACCTGTGTCGCAGACCAGCCCAATTCCACCTCACAGGCCTGTTGTGAGGAAAAAGTTAACAAGAGAACAATGTGGTAAATTGCACTGGGTCCCCACTGGACAGAAAAGTCAGGGAGGGAGGGAGGGTATTTACTATAGGAGCTTGAAGTCTGTGAAACCAGAGAGATAATACGCAAACACCAGAGTGCAGCCTAATCCTACGGAACAAGAGTTCTGAGGTTCAGCTACTTGCAACTGGAACGATTTCAGATAACTTGAAATTCTCTCCCTATAACCTTAAGAACTATTACAGATCTCAGCCTTGTCTTTGGCTACAGCGTGGCTCCTGCGGTCAAAGGCAAAACTGTACATTAAATAAGGAAACTGACCTTTCACGGAAGCAGCTTCTTTCCCATTGTGGGCCAGGAAGTCCATGCTGGCGTAAGTGTCATTGATACTCCTGTTGAGGAGGTGCCTCGCTTGGCTGCCATTCGCCAGATGGTCTCCCTCCCCGTCCACAGCGATGTAGTTGAGGCCGTTCTGGAAGCCGGCCGAGGTCTCCCGGCACATTGGACTACTGTTCTGCTCTTCCACAAAGCCTTCGTTTTTCCTGAGGGACACGTTTTCCACAGAAGCGGAGTTGTGCCGCTTGGGGACGTGCGCGAAGGAAGGCGAGACCGGGGTCACGGTGGTCGTGGAGGAGAACGTCTCCGAACTGTGCCTCCGGCGCCCCTGAGGGTCCACCCGGATGACTTTGGCTCCGTGGTCGGGATCGGGAGGCGGGTTAGCAAAGAGGAAGGCTTCCACCCCAGAGATCGTGAGTCGCTTCAGGCCGGCCACGGGGCTGGCGACACGGGGGCTCTCTGGCTTGTGTGAAATGGGCTGAGGCGGGGTGGTGGCTGTTGAAAAAGCTACCTCTGCATAGTCCCCGACTTCAGAAGATGGGCTCGAAAGGCAGGCTACCCCCATCTCCATCTTTAGGTAATGCTCATCCGGCTGCCCCAGGCTGGGGCAGGATCCCTGTAACAGGACGTCTTCCACGGATCCCACTGAAACAGCCCCCGAGTGCGACCCGTTCAAGTTGAGGTTCATGTAGTTGGAAAGAAGAGAGCCGGGAGGCCCACCCAGGCCGGAGCGAAGTGAGAAAAGACCACCAGGTGGCGCCACTGCGTAGCCCAGGCTGACATAGTCCCCCCCACCGGGGCACTGGAGTTTACCTGGAAAGGGCTCCTTGCTCCTACCCAGCAGCAAGGTCCCCAAGGAACGGTGGCTGGGCTGCATGCCACTGTGAGCGGGCATCCTTGCCTGCTGGCTGAGGGAGCTGTCTGTCTGACTGTGGCGCAGGGGCAAAGGCATCACGATGTGGTTGCACGAGGTCTCCCCTTTCGGGGCCTGGATCAACCTCCCCGCTAGCGAGTTCATATGCACATACTGGTCACTGTCCTTCTCCTGGCCCAGAGAGCTCGGCCGACTCTGGGAAGCGTGGGTCAACGGGCCGCACAAGCAGCTGGGCCGCCCCCCGGGCCCCAGGACCCCAAAGCCATCCGGGGAAGGCAGAGGCGAAGCAGAGGCAGTGGAAGGTCCATGCAGCTGCACAGGGGACATGTTGAGATAGTCGCCGTTGCCCAGGCAGCCGTCAGTGCTCTCCCCAGATAGCCGGGCCCCGGGGCCCCACATGCGCATGTAGCCGCTGTCGTCGGGAGAGCTCTCGCTACTGGTCTTGTAGGAGCGGGGCTGCAAGATCTGCTGCGGGGCCGAGACGCTGGTGGGGCTCATGGGCATGTAAGGGTTCGAGCAAGGCTTCCCCGGCAAGGCTGATGCCACCCCAGGGCTCATGGGCATGTAGCTTTCCTCCGCACCATCGCTGGGTCCCAGATGGGAGCTGCTGCTGCTGCTGGTGCCCCCGGAGCCAATCTCCAGGTCACAGTAGTCCTCGGGATAAGGGTTGTAGGCCGTCCTGGAGGAGGCCCCCGTTGCAGGGACGGTGGCCCGCATGAGCGTGTATTCGTCCAGGGAGGCGGAGGAGAGCGGGAGGGGCAAGGGGCGCTGGTGTGCCGGCGTGGTCAAGGAGTAGGTTCGCTTCCGGGGGGCTTTGTCCGCCCGGGGGGCGTTATCCCACAGGTAAGGGCGATAGCAGAGGCGCCCCCGCTCCATGGCCATGTAGCCGTCCAGCTGCTGGCCGGGAGGGGTCTCAGGGGTGTTGCTGTGGTTGCTGGCCGTGGAGGAGGAGGAGAAGGGCCGTGGGTCCCCTCCTGGACTGGAGCTCAGGTCCTCGAAGGCCATGAAGGCGGCAGGGTCGCTGGGAGAGCCGGAGGCAGAGGCGCTGCTGCTGGAGGGCCGCTTGGAGAGCAGGCCTGGCTCCAGGGCCAACTTGGAGAGCAGGGAGGGCGAGTGGCCCAGGGCTAGCGAGCGGCCACTCCGGCCGGAGGAAGAGGAGGAGGAGGAGGAAGAGGCAGTGCCCAGCGTGTGGGAGCGGCTGAGCAGGGTGCGCCCGGCGTCCGGGCTGAGGGGGCTGCCGGCCAGCGAGCCCCCTCGCCCCCCGTCGCCCTCGCTGGCCGTCCGCGCCCGGCTGCTGTTGCTGCCCCTGCCCCCGCCGCCGCTGCCACCTCCTCCCGCCGCGGCCAGGGTGTCGGTGCGGGAGCGCCGGAGGATGCCCGTCTGGCTGGGCGGCAGCGCGACCAAGGAAGGAGGATGGTGGTGGTGGTGGTGGTGTCGGCGGCCGGGCACGGAGATGGGCCGGCTGCCCACGGCCGAGAAGCCCCCTCCGGCGACGGCGGCGCCCCCGGAGGAGGACGAGGAGGAGGAGGACTGGCTCTTGCTGCGCGGGCGGAACTCGGCCAGCTCGCGGAGGGCCTTCATGGCCTCCAGGATGGTCTCGTGGATGTTCTGCGCCACCACGGCGTCGTCGGCCTGCATCCACAGCTCTCCGGGCCCGGTGGCGGCCGAGCGGCCGAGCTCCATGAAGAAGAAGCTGTCCGAGTGGCCGCAGCGGCGGATGTTCATGAGCTGCAGCGTCACGCAGGGCCGCTCGCAGTTGAGGCGCACCAGCCCCACCGTCCGCGCCGCCAGGCACAGCCGGTGCACGCCCGTCAGGTGGCGGCTCTGGCCCAGGCCCTTGGCCTTCAGCGTCACCTGCCACACCTCGCGGTAGGCCGGCGGCGGCGGCGGGGCCGAGGCGTTTTTGGGTCCCCTGGCCGGCGGCCTGGCTGTCGCGCAGCAGCTCGGTCTGCTCCTGGAACCAGGCCTCCTGCTCGGCCTCGCTCTCGGCCGCCAGGGCGAAGGTCTCGTCGCGCGTGTAGAGGGCGATGAGGTGCTTGTGCTTGGCGTCGGCCCGCTTGTGGATGTTCAGGCAGGCGTCGAGCGCGATGGCCCGCTTGGGCGCCGACGCCTTGCTCCGCCACTTCTTCTCGCTCTCGTAGTACTCCAGCCGCGCCGCCGCCGCCGCCGGGGGGGAAGAAGAAGAAGACGAAGGCGACGCCTCCTCCCCGCCGCCGCCGCCGCCGCCGCCGCCCGCCCGCAGG